ATAGATAGATAGATAGATAGATAGATAGATAGATAGATAGATAGATATCTGTTTGTTGGATGCAGGTTTCTGTGCTGATTGATCGCGTCTTCTGTGTTCTTCTCATTTTGTCTTCTGGTTCTATCAGTTTACTGAGAACATTGTGTTAAAACATTCTGCTGTAGTCATTGTTGGCTTACATTTTTTTCTTTATTTTGAGCCTATATCATGAAGGGCATTTACATTTGGGATTGTTAATTTCTCAGGAGATTTGTTACTGGTTTATAAGAACATTCTTTATCCCTAAACATATTTTGTGGCATAAGACTCGATGCTGTCTAATGATAGCTATATGGCTGGTTATGCCTCATAACAAACATAGCTATGTTCTCTTGGCTGTTTTCTTGGTGTATCTTCTCATTCTTTTACTTTCAACTTTTCTGTGTCATTGTGTTTTAGGTGTGTCTCTTATAAACAGCATATAGCTGGATTTTGTTATCTTATCCAATGTGAGAATCTGTCTTTTAACTGGTGAGTTTTAGTCTTTTTATATTTATTGTAGTTGCTACTGTACTTAGATTTGTTATCACTCTGTTATGTGCTATTTTACCATGTATTTTTTTCTCTATTTCTTTTTCCATTGTGAATTGTCTTTATTCATTTTATTTCTTTTACTTGACTGGAAGTTTTACATTCTGTATCTGGAATGCACAACTAGTCATTACTTGTGAAATGTTGTGCTGGGCAGTGGTGGTGTACACCTTTAATCCTAGCACTTGGGAGGCAGAGGCAGGCGGATTTCTGAGTTCGAGGCCAGCCTGGTCTACAGAGTGAGTTCCAGGACAGCCAGGGCTACACAGAGAAACCCTGTCTCGAAAAACCAAAAAAGAAAAAAAAAAACAAGAAAAAAAAAACCTTGTGAAATGTTGTGTATCTGACTCAGTAAAATCTAAAGTTAATCATTCTCTCTGTCCTCTTTTCAAATAATGCTTTGAAATGCTGTAACTCTCGCCATCTTCTCCAGTCTCACATGCCATGGTTGCTCTGTCACTGTCTCCATGTTGTGTTCTTTTCGCCGCTTACTCTCATCATTGCTAAGGACTCCTGTAGTACACATTTGCTTTCATTTAAAAGTGGTAAGTAATCTTTCCCTCTGCTTTAGACAGTTTGCTTTTTTCTGCTATTTGGTTTTTGGTTTTTGTTTTGTTTTGTTTTGTTTTTCTAGTATAGGCAAAGCTTGTTCAGTCTTCCTTGGTCAAAAGTGCTGTCATTTCGTCCTCGGATGGTACTTCAGCTCACAGTTCTGTACCACACTAAATTTACACTATTGTCTGGTCTCCTGTATGTGATTATGAGCATGCAACTGCACTGGTTCTTTTGGGTACTCATTCTTCTGGTTTTAAAATAACTGGTTATTCTCCAGCTCTCATTAGTCTTCAGGTAAAGTTCTCTAGTCCAGGCTCTCTAGAGTTGTAGCTTCTGGAGGCCTTGATTTTATTCAGAAGTCAGTTTCAATGTACAAAGCCTTGTCTGGCCCTGTTTGGAGCATTGCCCACATGCCTCTCTTTTCTTGTGAAATAACCACCCCAGAGCTGCCACCATACAAATGCTCAGCTCTCTCTTCTGTGCCACTTGAGGGCTTTTATTCTTGCTTATGCACTTGCTGTGCATTTTAAGGCAAAATGATTGTTTTACATGACAGTTTAGGGTGCACCTAAAAGGAATTTTCTCATTTGTCTACTCTCACTTGTCTGGAACTCTAAGTCTGGTAGTGCTGTTCATTGATTTCTTTCCGTGAAATTGAGAGTGGTGTATTCCAGTTTATTTTTAAGCTAGTATAATACAGATTGATTTCACTCTATTGAGTCCTGGGGTAATTTATAAAGGATATTGCCTTCTGAAAAAAAAAAAAGGAAGTATTTGGAAAATTTCTCTCTTGTTTTGTGTTTTCTCCCAGAAGCCAGAGACAAGATATGCTAGAGTATCTCTTAGGGCCCCTTTCATACTATGGTCTACAGGTGTTTTAGCCCCTTATAGAAATGGAATGTATTTCATCTGACTTAGGTGCATTCTCCTGTACATTTTACATCACTTCTAGATTACTTATACCTATTAAATGAAGTTCTATGGAAACAGTTGTAACAATATACCATGACAAGAAAGATGTTGGTGTTCAGTACACATTTTTTTTTTATTTCTGAGTATTTTCCATCTGTATTTGGTTGAATCTTCAGATGAGAAACCTGAGACCATAGAAGGACCATAGCCCTCAGCCTTCATCTGAAAAGGAAAATTGAGATGTTATTTTAAGAATTATGGAGATGGAATTAGAGCCTTTCTTGTTTGGTCTGGGGTCTTTGGTTTGGACAGGTGTTTACTAAAGGTGTTGAGTTTTTCCTGTGTGCACTTGGATGTGGCAGCTACTGTGCTCACTATGAACATTTGTTTCCATAAGTAACTCATTTCCTTCTTTGATATTCTTTTCCTTATGTCATATTCTTGATGGCCCCTTAATAGTAGATCCTGTCACTCAAAACACAGGCTTTTTGGCTTTCTATTGTCTTCCCTTGTCTGGCTATATTCATTCTCTCTCTCTCTCTCTCTCTCTCTCTCTCTCTCTCTCTCTCTCTCTAGGGTTTTGTTTTGCTTTTCTCATTGATCACTATGTAATTTCTTTTATGCTCCGTGGCCTTTCCCTACCAGACCATGTCCATTATGTCGTCCCATATAGCGTCTCCTCTTGTTTAACTCCCCTTGCCACTGTATGTCATTGTCCTGTGTTGCCATTGGGTTTGGATTGCTTCACTTTTGTACCCGTCTTTAACTTTAGCCTGTGAACCATTGTTCTGTAGTCTCATGAAAGACTGAAACTGTTAATCTTTTGTAACCTTCTCCCCGAAAGCTTGCACTGCCAAAATAGAACAGTAAAGAAAGAATGAAATTCCCTTCCTCTCAACCTCAGAAGCAGTTAGCCATAAAGCCACATGTAATGACTGTTACACCATGTACTGCTGAGTCTAAGTGTGTTTCTCTTATTATTATAGAAGCAGAGAAGATTGCACAGGTGGCAAAAATTCGATTTCAACAGAAAGTGATGGAGAAAGAAACTGAAAAACGCATTTCTGAGATTGAAGGTACAAGAGTGAAAGGCTGAAGTTCTGAGTGTCCTGAACTGCCTCTCTGCCCAGGACCAGTTCCTGATTGTCTTGTGGGGGAAAGCCATAGGACCTGCTGGTCTGGAGATGCAGCTAGCCTGATACTCTAGACGAACAACAAGAAAGAAAACAAACAACAAAACCTATGTAATCTAGTTCTCTCTTTAGTCTGTGACTTGTGGCTCAGCCTTTCATTTCCTTTCTTACAATGGGTCTTTTTAGCTCTTACTTTATTTTCAGATGAAGTATAAGAATTTCTCAAAATCTTTTGTTAAAACAAAATAAGTGTCTAGAGACATGGCTCAGTGGTTAAGAACACTGGCTGCTCTTCCAGAGGACCAGGTCCAATCCGCAGACCCACGTGATAGTTCATAACTGTCTATGATTCCAGTCCCAGGGGGATCTAACACCCTCTTGTATACATATGATGTGCAGAGATACATGGCAGGTAAAATGCTCATGTACATAAAAATGAAAAGCTTTTAGGCATGTGCTTGGAAAGGGCAGGGGAGATAGCTCAGGGCTTAAGAATACACACTGAGTTCAGTTCTAAGAACCCATGTTAGGTAGTCCTCAGCTGCCTCTAACTACAGCTCTAGATGATCAGATACCTTCTGCATACCTTTAGGGTCACTGTTCTCTCTCTCTCTTTCTCTCTCTCTGTGTTGTGTGTGTGTATCTGTCTGTCAGTCTGTCTGCCTCTATCTTTCTCACTCTCTCACACATAATTTAAATATGTAAATTAAACACAAATAATTTTTTAATGTTTAAGATAATAACCACCACCAGTTTGTCACATGTCAACAGCAATAACAGCAAATTAGCTGGGGGAAAAGATACAGTCCAGTTGTAGTGAAAACTCTGTAATCACTTAGTGATCTGTTCATTATTGAACCCAAGGCCTTGCATATGCTAATGGGATATTCTTAGACCACAGTCTTTTTTTTTTTTTTTATGAAAGCTTTAATTTATTCCCTCACCAAAGACAATCAAAGGGGGTGAAAGGTCAAGATTTTACTGTCTTCATAACAAAATCGGCTTAGAACTGGATCACTTGGCCCTTTCTCTTCTTGTCGCCTCCCAGTTCAAAATGCTTGCACCTCTTACTAGCCAGCATCCTCTTAGATCTGCAGTTGGGCTCCACACACTCCAGTCGCAGCATGATCTTCTTTGTAGTTTTAGCCTTTTTGCGGAAAATAGGCTTAGTCTGACCACCATAGCCACTCTGTTTCCTGTCATAACGCCGCTTTCCCTGGGCATACAAAGAATCCTTGCCCTTCTTGTACTGGGTCACCTTGTGGGGTTGGTGCTTCCCACATTTCTTGCAGAATGTCTGGCGGGTCTTAGGAACGTTCACCATGTTGGCAGGAGCGCTATCAGCTCAGAAAGAGAGAGGAGAGAGCAGCAACGGAAGTTTTCGACCACAGTCTTTATGCTTGATTATGCCTATGGTTGTTTTGCCTGACCCCTGCCTGGGTGGAGGATAAGGCTTTAGGTGATGGAAAGTTGGAGGGAGGTAGAGGACAAAGGAACCACTTAGACCAGAAAATGAGTTAACTCAAAATGCGGTTGTTCAACAGTGATGAATATATTCCCCTTAAAAGGGAGCTGTCCTGAGGACTGAGATTTTTTAAATTGTTAAAGTTATAGCTTAAGTGAGGCAAACAATTGAAATAATAAGCAGTAAAAAAGATACTCTTACCCAGATGAGGGAATCAAGTGGCAGTTTTCCTTCATTGCAAACATGCTGTCACTGTTTTGTTTGCTAGATGCCGCGTTCCTGGCCCGCGAGAAGGCAAAAGCAGATGCTGAGTACTATGCTGCACACAAATACGCCACCTCAAACAAGGTACCCGCTCTCCACGCCCTCCCCTAGTAGCTGTTAGTGCTGTGCATTTGAAATCATGGGTTCTAGTGTGTGTACAAGTCGTTGTATTCAATGTCAGGAAAGGGCAGTGGCTGGCCCATCATCGACCAATTCCGTAGAAAGACATATTGATGCCCAAACATTGTTGTCTGTTTTTATAAAGGAAAGGAGTAAAGACCAGCAGATGCACAAGCAGAGGTCAGGTGCCATAAAACCATTCATGTGTCCTGAAAGGAGGGGTTCTGGAAAGTTGAAGGTCTCTGGAGAAAGTGACAGAGAGAGAGGAAGGCTGAGCTAGAGTAGCTTTCCAGACAGTCCGCTTTCTGGACAGGAGCTGCACTTCTGTAGACCGAGAGCGGGTGACTAGATATTCCTGGGGAAATTAAGACATGACAGAAATGGGTTCTAAACCAAAAGCAAGTTTGGTTGAAAATATCAACACAAAATACTAGTAGGGAGGCTGATGATGTAGCTAGGTTGATAGAGTGCTTAGCTAACATAGCTGACCCTCAGTTTGATCTCTTAACACCACATAAATGTGGGTGTGATGACAGATGTCTAGAACCCCAGTAATCTGATGGTACAAGTAGGAGAATTAAAAGTCCAAGGTCACCCTCTGTTACATAGCAAGTTTGAGGCCAGCCTGAAATATGTGAGGTCCATTTTCAAACAGGAACTGTTGGTAGAAGCTGTTGTAGTTGTTGACAGACATCCATCTTATCACAAATAAGTAAAATAGCCAACTTGTAGGTAAAGGCAAGAAGCCAGCCTAGGTGATATCTAGACAGACTCCAATTCTCAGATTTGGTTGAAAAAGTTGAGTCACTAAGACAACTGGTTAAACAGTTGTGAACCTAGGCTTTTCCTTGGAAACCCTAACACTGCTCTGTTGAATTGTATACCTCTCTCAAGAGAATCAGAAATTCTGTGTCATTTCCTGGTTGAGTTGAGCTACATGAAATAGAAAATGCATGTAAACTACTTTATAAGCTACAAAAGAAATACTATGTTATTTGACCCCCAATCTATTTTGAAAAAATATGGCTTATCCTACATTAAGACAGGAAGGAGTTTGTTAAAGGAATTTTAATCAAGAACTTTGCTGTTGATAGGATAGCCACACTTCAAAATGAAATAATGTCACTGGCAAACATTCCAAGTTGAGTCATGTTACTCAGGAGAGCAACTGGAGAAACAGCCTTCAGGAAAAAGAGATGACTGTTGTCCTAAACTGTTCTAATTCTTCTGTTCCTGTTTACCCCACACAGCACAAACTGACCCCAGAATACCTGGAGCTCAAGAAGTACCAGGCCATTGCTTCTAACAGTAAGATCTACTTTGGCAGCAGCATCCCTAACATGTTCGTGGACTCCTCTTGTGCTTTGAAATACTCTGATGTTAGGACTGGAAGAGAAGGCTCCCTTCCCCCTGAGGAGGCTCTTAAACCCTCTGGAGAGAGCCCCATCCAAAACAAGGAGAACACAGGTTGATGCAAGAGGTGGAAATGTTCTCCCATATCAAGACGTGACCCAAGGGGCTAAGTGGGAACAGTGGTTATATGGACACTTATGATTCACAGAGAATTTGTGCTCTGTTGTGATTCTCTTGTCATAGTCCTGGTTTGCCAGCTGACTACAGGATAGATCCAGCTGTCTGCCACTCAAATGGTCTCTGCAACCACAGTTTTATCAAGTATCCTGTATGAGTTCATTTGTAAACCAGTACTCATGAATGAGGGAAAGTCTGATGCTAAGATACTGCCTGCACTGGAATGTCAATCACTATATAACAAGCTGTGTTTTTTAAAAGCTGAGGTCTATTGAATAATGTTTACATTGGTCCCTGGGGACATGTGTGCTCAGACATTCAAAAACTAGGAGGCCAGAGAGAAGACCTTCAGAAAACGGTAAGTTAAAGAAGACAAGTGTCATCAGACACATGGGACCCAGGCTCTCTTTAAAGTCTAGTCCCAGCATTCCTCCATGTGATTAACAGCCAGACCTCTGGGTTCCTAGGAAATTATCTTCCAGTTGAACAACCATTTACTTGATACAAATTGTACCTTTCTGTTTTTCTATAGTCAGGTTGGTGGCCTGCAGGGACACGCACTTTGCCACCCAACCAGAGGTTCCTCGCAGAGATTCCCAGTCACTAGTTTATTGCATTAGTAGACTCAGAGATCTAGAAAGCAGCTGAAATTTAAGGGAGATAAAGCCTGCGCTGCACCAAAGCTGTAGGGCCCTGTGTTTCCTCTATTCAGTGATGTCATCAACCTCACTGCCCCAGTCCATGTGTGACTAAAGTACCTGGTTTTAGCCACACACAACTGCTTAGATGTCACCTCTTGGCTGACCAAAGCTGGGACAAGGCTTTAACCAGACACAGGAGCAGTGTGCAATATCTACTTCACTGCATAGTATTATATCATAATTGCAGGATTTTTTATTTTTAAAACTGGACTTGGGGCACATTCATTCACCCCAGCACTTCTATCTAAAGGCCAAGGTTCTAGGGCTGCCGTGGTCACTAACACACTGATTCTCCTTAAAGTAGTTCACAAAGTGTGGAACCAAGTGACCTAGACAGTAACCTTAGTTGTCTTTGTCTCCTTCCCTGGGATGTGGATATCAAAGTTGTCTTTCCAACTTTCACCTTTTCTAGGAGATAAGAATTCTCTTGACTTCCTGGGTAGCCATTGAATTTATTTTCCATGAGAAGAAGACAAAGTTAGCCTGTGGCTATAGGAGCTCACTTCATCCAGACCTTTTTGCCCATCACATTAACTTTCCTGGGGTATTGCACTGCACAGGTAGACCTGAGTCTGCCCAGCTTGTTGACAGTTCGTGTGTATACTGTGTTGAAGCCAGACAGAAAAGTAATGGGGCCACTTCCTGAAACTTCTCGGCTGTTGATCTCACAGCAGCTAAAGGGTTGTGCCAAACATATTGAGAAAGGAAAGCCCAAATATGAATGGGTTTTTCCATGGCCTTATAGTGTAGAGGCATTTGTAATATGGAGAAAATAATTTTTTTCATTTAATTATAGAAATTACCTTTAAATAGATTTTGTGTTCTTTGGCCCTTCTTACAAGAATTTTTAAGCTATACAAATACTCCTGTTATATTGTTGCTGCAGATAAATAATGCTTGTTGTGGGATATCTGGATCATTGAGCTTTGTGCTTTCATTCCTAGAGATGTTTCTTCTTCCCATTTAGTGGAATGCTGTTGCCCCAAAGTGATGGTTGTGGGTTTTCTTACCAGTCATAGGCCCTGGTGAAGAACAGGGAAGCCATTGTGAAAGATTAAAGAAAGCACTTCCACTTGAGCTCCATATGGAGTGAGCTTCCCTGTGCCCACCCAGTGAACTAAGTCTGACCATCCTTCAGGGACGTTCCTTTTGGTAAATATACACTGTAATCTTTAAGTCTAAATTTATATGTGAAAGTTAACTTTTTTAAAAAAAACTAAATAAAATTATTTTCCTATCAGTGATTGTGTGTGTTCTATTTTCTCCATGTCTTCATACTTTCTTGTTGCTGTAACATGTTCTAAAGCTGTCTGTCCTTGCCCATTTCAACTAGAGGGCCAGTATGTTTGCTGATTGAACTTAACTGTAGAAGTTTGTACTTTTTCCAAAATAATGACTACTAGGTATAATTTTTTTTTTAAGATTTATTTATTTATTTTATTTATGAGTACACTGTCGCTGTCTTCGGACACACCAGAATAGGGCATCCAATCTCGTTACGGATGGTTGTGAGCCACCATGTGGTTGCTGGGATTTGAACTCAGGACCTCTGGAAGAGCAGTCAGTGCTCTTAACCGCTGAGCCATCTCTCCAGCCCGGTATAATTTTTTTAAGGTAACATTTCCACTTTTTCCTAACTCTTAGAATTTGATATCAAATTTGTTATTGTTTGTGGGATAAATCAGGACTAAGAGATTGAAGAAGGAAAGATGGGCATTGTGCCCCTTAGAGCCTTACTAGAAGGAAAACAGATTTACATTTAAAAAGGCATGAAGGAGCTGTGTACATTGTAAGTGGTAGTGTTGTGGCATGACTTAATTCATTAATTCCGAGGTTACCAGAGTCAGGATTGGACCTAGATTCTCTCCTGGGGAACATCTTTCTTGGGGAGACAGTTGCAACTGTGCTATTGGGCTAGCAGGGAATAGTAGTTGGGAGCTCCCAGGAAGGAGTCCCTTTGTTTGGCTTCTGGGACTCCACCATACTATCCCACATTAGCTGCCACAGACCAGGGAGCTGTGGCTACTAATTTGAACTCGTTATCCTATAGGCTTTGGTATTGGGATGAGTTCTGCCCAGTCCTGTAAGAAAGTGTTAATTAGCAGTTGTGACTCCTACTTGCTTTAAAGTGATTAAGTCCAGTGTCTGTGGCCCAGGGGCTTTATAATCTGACTGTGTTGTCCTTGCTAGCCATTCTCCTCTAAGGTCGGTGAATGTGCCCTCCCCTCTATTTCCCTTTGTAATGTTCTGTCCTGGCCTACTTTTCTCTCTTGTGGCACCAGCTCTCCTTTGCCAGCTCCTAAGGCGTCCTCATCACTTCAGAGAGTTCACCCTGAACTGTGCTCAGAGTTAGCATTTTCCATTCACCCACTATGAATAGTCAGTCACCCTGCCTCATTACCTGCCTAGAGTTTATCATCACATAAACCTTGGCTCTATAAAGGCAGTGACCATGGCTATATTGTTGCCTGGGGATTGTATATAGTTCTAGCTACTAAGATGGTGTTTAATCTTTGAGACTTGACCAGTTTTGTTTCATGAAAACAAAAAGATAAATATGAAATGCAGGAAAAGATAGTCTAACAAGAGGACTTAGAAGCTGCATTTCAATCCATATGAACAAAGACTTATGAAATAACCATGAAAATTACCAGCCATTTCTAAGTGGCTTACTCATTCTTGCAGCAACTCATTTTGCATCTCTTCAGCAAAATAAGTTGCTGTACCTAGTATAGTAATTTCCATATGGCGATTTCTGGGGTGTGTTAGTTTAATCTGTAGAAATCAGTATGTTTCTGTCTCTGAGTAGCCCAGAAATTCCACAGTAGAGAATGGCTCACTCAGTACTTGATGGGTATGAGCATAAAATAAAACACGTTGATATTTGTCTTCAGGAGCCAAGGTGTAAGATAACTAGATTTAAACATTGGCCACAACCTCAAAGGACATTCCAGTAACCCAGGCCAGTGTCTCCATCGTCTGCTCTTGTGGGACCATTTAGAACAGTCACTTTCCCACTCCTGGTGTCCTTTAGTTATACAGACTGTAACTTATAATGACATTTTTCTTGTTTTTCTTACTGTGTGTTATGGTTTGAGTATGTTCTTCAAAAAGCATGTGTTAAGAAAGAACAACCTCCAGTCCACCGGTCTCTCTCTGAGAGAGCCCAGAGAGGAGACGAAACACTGGAGACAGTGCAGTGAGTAGATTAAGACCATTGTGGCAAGAACGAGTTCATTTTTTTAAAGATTTCATCCCTGTTTGTGTTCCTGCATTCCTCCCTCCTTCCCTCTTCCTCTCTCACCCTCTTATTGTTTCTTATACTCTGCTTTTTGCTGTGAGATGATGCAGCAAGAAGGCATGTTCAGCAGGTATTGTCCTCAATTTTGGATTTCCAGCCTCCAGAATTGTGAGATTGTTGCTTGTCATTAATAACCTGGTTGACAATGTTCTTTTAGAACAATGCAAGATGAACAAAGAAAAGAAGTTGGCTCCCAAGGAGTAGAGTGTTGCTGTAATAAACATCTGAAAAACGTGAACTTAGTTTTGGAGTTGAATGGTGAGTAGAGGCATTTGGAGAAGCAGCCTGGAAACAGCTTGGTTGCCATGAGCAGAACGTGATGGAATGTTGTAGTGAGGGATCAGCAAGGGGAGCTGTAGGGAAAGTGGATTTTCAACACAGATAGGATGACAGAGACTTCTCAGGGTGCAGAAAGAGGAACTAAGTGTTGGGAGCTTGAGTGAAGGTTATTCTGAGCTGAAAAGAAAGCCACCGTGTGTGTGTGTGTGTGTGTGTGTGTGTGTGTGTGTGTTTGTGTTTCAAGGCGTTGTGGAAGAGGAATCTTAAGATCATTCCCTAAGATTTAGTGGAAGACGTTACTTCCTTTCTTTCATGTGCAGGGGATTGAACCCAGAGTCTGGCACGTGCTGAGCAGATACTCTAGCAATAATTATTCCCCACCATATTTGAAAAAATTCCAGTGTATATACTCTTGAACCAGCTACATTGCTCCTTTTAGCTGTGAATAGCAAAACACAAGGTGAGAAATGATATAAAGATTGAATTTTAAAAGGAAACAGAACTTGGGAATTTGAAGAATTCTTAGCCTAGCACTTGTAAAAAATGATAAGAGAAAACCAGTGTTTGCTGAAGTACTGGTAGAAGACAGCTAGCTGCTGTCCCCTTCAGTCTTGGGACTTCCTAGTCTCTACTTCCAAGACCCAATTTATATGGATTATAAATTACCCAGTTTCAGATACCGTTATAGCATAAGAAGGACTATGATAACCATGTTTTTTGGGAAATATTACATATCTTTGCTGTTATTTCTTTTAATTCATTTTTTTACTAGTTTCTGGTTTTTTAACCTTCAAAAATGTAGTCTCATGTATTTATTAGACACCTATTGTGTTGCTAAAGCAATAAAAAAGACACGGATCCTCTGAGGTGGGGCGGGACAGTTTAGATAACCAAGTACACATAAGTGCACACATGAGTCGCAAGTACACATTAACCAAGTACACATGAGCCGCACAGCAGGCTCCGTGAATCTCAGCGGAATCTGGTGGTTTCTAGGAAGCAATGTGTGGTCTGAGGCAATTTTCAAAGGATGGAGGGAAGACAGCCAGCTGAAAATAGTGATGACACAACGTGTTTAAGGTGATGGGAAAGTCACGTTACATTTAAAATTCAATTTTCTGGATTCCCTCACCTCAACAGTACCATGGGACATGAGAGACTTCTCACTGCAAGCCACTGTTAGTAACTGTTTCTGCTTACTAGCACAGGGCCTCATATGCAGGCATTCTCTCTGAATCCTCACAACCTTAAGAGGTTCTGCTGTCATCTTACAGCTGGGGTTTAGAAAGGTCACTTGACCCAAAAGTAACATAAATAACCAAGTGCAAAGGAAAGCTTTGACCTATACCATGGATCCAGCGGCTTTACCACAGTCCTTAGTCCTGTTTGCTGAAGCAGTTAGGACAGTGAAGACTAAGAATTTAGGAGAGACTTCAGAGGATGTATATAGTCTTAAATGAAGGCCAGGAAAACGGATGAGTGATTGGTTAGCATGTTAAGTAGGGACCAATGGGTTGGCTTTCTCCGCTGTCCATAGGCCTAGGAAGAAGTGCTCTCTAGAGGAGCTGGTCAAAATAGCAGCTGACTGCAGAACCATGAGCCTTTTGGAGCCTGGACAAGCAACACTCTTCCATTATATGAACCAAATGGAACTGAATCACATTGAATGGTCATTGTGGATACCATGTTCAGGTAGGAAGCCTTCCTGCTCTGGTAGTATAAAGTTATGTTGGCTGAAAAAGTTATGTCCCCTTCCCCAGGTCACACCTGCTTCCTGGGGACAACCTACCTAGAGTGTTTGGTACACGAATAGAAAGCAGAAGATTTGTTTGAATGGTTTTCCCTCCAAAATGTCTCCACTTACTGGTAAGCTAGGATTTGCATCTTAATAGCTATATTAAGCCTAATTGCAATTCATGCATAGAAGGGAAATTCGGAGAAACTGGGTATTTGATTCCTCCAGTTCTGTTCAGCCTTACCTCTCTTGACTTTGAGTTCTGTGTGTGTTGGACAGTTGCACCAGATGTCACCTCACTTTCCCCTCGTTGCGTCTCCACTTCATGTAAGCACCTAACACCATGACCAGAGGTAACTTGGGGAGGAAAGGGTTTGTTTCATCTTATAACTTGTAGTCCATCTTCCAGGGAATTCAGGGCAGGAACCTGGAGGTAGGAACTGATGTCCAGGAGAAGTCACGAAGCAATGCTGCTTACAGGCTTGCTTGCCATGCTTGCTAGGCTCATTTTCTTATCGCACCCAGGACGACTAGCTCAGGGGTGGCACTGCCCAGTGAGCTGGACCCTCCCACATCTACCATCCATCAATGAAATGGACCACAGGCCAATTATTGGGGATACTTTCACAATTGAGGTTCCTTTTTCCCAAATTATATCTGGTGTCAAGTTTACGTAAAAATAGCCAGTGCAGACACTAAACACTTAAAACATTGACTTTATGAGTATTTGCCTATATGTATGCAAGTGCACACCTGTACAGTGTTCACAAAGGCCAGAAGAGTGACAGGTCCCCTGGAACTGGAGTTACAAAAGGTTGAGTTGCCATGTTGGTGTTAGGAACTCAAACCTCAGTTCTCTGGAAGAGCTCTTAACCACTGAGCCATTTCTCCTGCCCCAACACTGAACACTTTACACACTCTTAATGGAC